TTTTTTAATATTCCCCATACAATTGAATCCCCCTTATTTTGACCCCAAATCCTTCCTCTCTCCACCCCTCCCCCCATAGTGTGTCTCTGGTTTATGGTTGCTTGTTGATTTTGATATTTTCTTTCTTATAGTTATTCTTTTCCCTGGTCCCTTATTTAGGTTTTCTAGATTCCTGCTATGAGTGAGACCATCCGGTATTTTTCATTTTCTTTCTGACTTATTTCGCTGAGCATGATCCCTTCCAGCTCCATCCATGTTGCTGCAATGATATTTTATATTTTTAATCCCTATGAAGAAAAACAGATATGCTGTCCATTGGTTGTAATGTTTTCTTTTTTTCTTCTCTCAAATTTTATTAATTTGTCAGTCATTTGTAAAACTATACTATGGGGAGTAGCACTCGAAAAAGATAAATTCATGACATTTGCGGGAACATGCATGGAACTAGAAGAAATGGTGCAAGTGAAATAAGCCAGAAGGAGAAAGAGAAATACCAGATGGTGGTGCAGGGGTTAGTGTCTCAGTGCTATCTAGCTATAGCCAGCCACTGCAGCATGAGTTCCTGAGTTCCATCCCCGGCCAGGGAGCTACCCACATGGTGCAGCAGACCTCTCCTGTCTCCCCACTGCTCCCCTCAGCAGTGTATTTCAGTAGATCTGCCTGTCCTGCTCCCCACTCTGTCTCTGGTGAATCCTCTCACCCCCTGCACCTCTGGCTTACGGCCGAATTCGTGCACGTGTAAATAAATAAAGATAAATAATTAAAAAAATAAAATAAGTACCGGATGGCGTCACTTATAAGTGGGATACAGAGAAACAAAGACTGCTAAAAGACAAACTTGAAAACCAACCCTTGAAAGGTGACCATAGATCTGGGGCTTTCAGAGGGGGAGGCATTAGCAGGGGGGCAGAGCACAAGGGTGGAGGACTCTGGGTGCTTTGATGGTGGAAGGACCAGTGACTGCACCCAAAGGGTGATCCTATACAGTCCAAACACTAAGAAGGATATAGAACAAGGGTACTTCGATAACAATAAAATAAATTTAAAAAAGGAATTGGGGAGTGTCACTTTGCACCTCCGTTCCTCTTAACCTCTTCCCCTCAGGTACTCGCACCCTTCCCAAGCTCCAGCTTCCAGGGCCCTGCCCCACTCAGCAGCTGGAGGTTGATGTTTGGATGCTCATGATGAGTTCTAGAAGCAAATGGAAAGTTGTTATCTGCCAGCCGCGACAGATGAGCCCATTAGCATCTGTCATGTACGCTTGGGTTATTTTATCAAGAGAGCTAGGAGCGAAAAACAGGGCAGAATGGGGTAACGTGGGGGTGGCTCTCAACGGCCTGGAATCTCAATTCCCATGACTTGAGCTGGTTATGCTCTGGGGGAGCAGGAGAGCCCGTCTGGGCTGTCGAGGGCGCTCGGACATATGTCTGTGTGGGAGAGGGAGTTTCCTCTCTTGAAACTCTGGTTTCCCCACTCGAGGAAATTCTATGGGGACTACACCTGAGAAACAAAGAAAAAAAAAAAAGCAAATAATTGTAGATTATGACAGTGGAATAATTGTGTGGATTAAATGAGGTGACTCCTCTGAAGCTTTTAAACTAGTCCCTGGAACGAAGTCATTTCTCAGGCTAGGGTAGCTGATGCAATTATTATTTCTCACCTATAAATCTTCCCTTGCTTAAATCCTGTAGGAGAAGGGAACTTGTCCATGGAGATCTTGCTTACACATAGTGCAAGTGTTAGAAATCTCCATGGGTCTCCAATATTTATTGTTATCATTCCATTGTAATGGTCCAATAATTGCATCAACCAACATATCCTGAGCTTCCTCTCTGCATGGGTTCTGGGTGGAAGCTTATAGTTTGTTTAAAAGAAACACTCCCGGGTGGGTAATGTCTGTGTCAAGTCCTCACTGACACCCACAGAGAGCCTGCCCTCCCGTGTGGGATCCTCAGAGTGGAAGTAGGTGCAGCGAAGGCAGTTAGAATAAGGAGAGAAAGTCAGACACTTATACACACACACACACACACACACACACAGACTGCATAAAACAGGCAGGATAGTGTAATACAGATGGAAAATTCACCTGCAGTCAGGGGGGAGTACCCTCGGGTGTCACTTAGTGCCAGGAATACCTGCTGAGACTGTGTCCTTTGGTGATTTCATTGTTGGGTAAACAGTGAAGTTACATAAACCTCACTGATGTGGCGTCTACACAGCTAGGATCCATCCAGGCATTGTGTTGACTGAACATCACTGTGATGGCGACAGCTTTCGGCCATCACCAGCAGCTTTTCTGGAGAGATGGCTGAATAAGTCCTTGACTTCCTTTGCTGGTGATCTGAGCTCTAAGGAGGTGGAGGAACCACACAGAGGTCTTGGAATTGGGACTTAACCTGGTGAGGTAGAGCTGAGTAGGAACTTCAGGGAGAGGGCAGCGTGGGGGGGAGAGGGGATTACTCCAGGGGTGAAGCAGGCCCCCACAATGGTGAGGCAGAGATCCTGGAGCCATCACCTCCTGGGTCCAAATTCTGATTCTACCACTTATTAGTCATACTTCTTTAGCCTGCAGAGTCTCTGCTTCCTCCTCTGTGAAGTGACCACTTTCTAAGGTGGGAGTGAACAGGTCCATGTGCTGGGGATGTGGGGAGCAGCCGCCCAATCATAGCTGCCCGTGCTGCTGTGACTTTACTTGGCAATCACAACAGAAATTCTAGATGGACACAGTCACCTAGACTTGAGGAATTTTGAAAAACCAGAGATAAGTGCAATTCCTTAGGCAGAAATTGTAAAGGGGAATTTGGCTTCAGACAGACTAGCCAGCTTTTTCTGCAAAAGGCCAGATAGTAAATAGTTTTGGCCCCGAAGGTCATAGAGTCTATTGCAACGTGTCATCTCTGCTGTTGTAGCACCGAAGCAGATTAGACACCAGCAAACAAATGGGCGTGTGTGTATTCCAGTAATGCTTTATTTACAAAAGCAAGAGCAGGGCTGGATTTAGCCCTAGAGTTTCTGGATCTCTGGTTTAAGAGAAAAGGGAAATAAGAAAATATAAAATTCTGCTTTTGTCATTGCAAATGGTGTCAGTAAGAGGAAAGGCAAGTTGACAATCGGATTAATTCCAGATTACAAAGGGGCTCCTGCCAAAAAGGAGGGGGACGGTGGTGCCTTCTGCCTGTCATATAGCCCAGAAATAAACATGACGTGACCTCCCTGGTGGCACACGGGGTTGCGTCTCAGCACTATGAAGCGATCGGCAGCCATTCCAGCAGGAGTTTGATCCCCAGCCAGGGAGCTACCCACATGGCACAGTAGACCTCTCCTGACTTGCCCGCTGCTCCCCTCAGCAGTGCATTTCGGTCAGTCTGCCTGTTCTGCTCCCCACTCTGTCTCTGGTGAATCCTTTCACCCCCTGCACCTCTCTCTGCCCTACACCCCAATTCTTGTATGCATAAATAAATAAATCTTAAAAGAAAACCATGATGTTCAACAAAAGATGAATCTGTGAAAAAAATTGGATTAAGAAAAAGAATCGGTTTTGTGTTTGTTTTGTGGTTGTTTAGTGTATTCAAAATCTCGAGGGAAGGAAAGCACAGGCCACCTGCCTGGGGGCTGTGCTGTGATGCAAACAGCTACCCGGGGCTTCCCTGGTCACTGAGTGTGGGAGGGGCTGGAAGTGGACAGATGAGACTCTCAGGGATGTTGAACAGTGGTAGCAAGAGACAATAAAAACCACAGGGGAGAGATCTAAAACCAGAGGCTGGGCCTCCCTTGTGGCGCAAGGGGTTAAGGACCACACTGTGCGGCAATCTGCAGCCTCTGCAGCACGAGTTTGATACCCGGTCGGCCAGGGAGCAGCCCACATGGTGCAGCGGACCTCTCCTGTCTCGCCCACTGCTCCCCTCAGCAGTGTATTTCAGTGGATCCACCTGTTCTGCTCCCCACTCTGTCTCTGGTGAATCCTCTTACCCCCCGCATCTCTGGCCTGCGCCCCAGCTCTTGTATGCATAGATAAATAAATCTTTAAAAAAAAAACCAAAAAACCCAGAGGCAAGTCCAACATTATCAATCAGGGCAAGAGATTGAAAAGCAATTTAAAATCCCCAGATGCAAACAGTCATAGTGTCTAAATGCAATTTGGGAACTTGTGATTTTCTTGTTTGTGTTTCTTTGATTAGTTTCCATTATCCTTTTTAATATTCCTTTTAAAACCACAGGAAAACGAAAACTCTTGAAGGTGGGAAGTTTCTTAGGCGCAACCTTAGTGTTGATGTTTAAAGAGTATAAGGTTGACTTTAACAGAGCATTCATGGAAATTTTTCATTGTAATGAGTGGACTGCAAACCAGTGAGTGTATCCCTAGGACAGAATCGAATACTTTCCCATCAGCTATTTCCCTACATGGTTTTTGCTGTGGATAGAACTTACTTCTCAGTGAATCACAATACTTGCCTTCCTAACTTCCCTTGTAGTTATGTCATGGGGAAGCCATACCAACCGCACACCACGAGCATTGCTGGACATCTGCTGAGCAGCTTCTGTGAGAGGTTCTCTTCTCTCTCTCTCTCTCTCTCTCTCTCTCTCTCTCTCCTGTGTATGTAACACGAAAAGCCTATCTTTTCTGTGTTTGATGTGCTCATGTGAAAGTGAGGTGTCTGGCACAGTGGCAGCCATTGTGTGATCATGAGGAGCTAAATCTGAGGTTATTCCAACACTGGTGATGGTAGATTAGAGAAGGGCAAGAGGGGGGTGTCTTTGATTCATTGAACTCTAACTATTCCCTCCATCTTCAGACTTCTAAGAAAATGGACCTGCGAGTCCATTCTACTTGGTTATTGCAGTCCCTGATCGTTTCACCCTCCCCCCAATGTCCACACAGTGGCCTGCTGGTGGGATTCCTCAAGCCATCTCAATGTTAAGTCAGGTTGGAGAACGTCTCAGCATTTATGAGTCCCTCGTCTCTCATGGTTTTAATACAAAGCCATGCCGCGAGAATGAAATTCTGCAAGGTTTATTATTTCATGTCATTTGATTTTGTTGCTTTAACTATCGGGGGGAATAAAGGCGTTTTCATGTGGCTGGCTGCTTTCTCCTTCTCGCGGATGCTGTCATTCTTTCCCAAGCCCAGCTCTACAGAAGACAAGGATAAATCCTGGAGATTCCCTTCTGTGGCACAAGGGATGCCCATTCTCTGCAGCCGTGGACTCATGGGCAGGTCTGTGGGAAACACCAGTTTTCGCATCTCCTAAGAGGCAGAGAATAGTGGAAGAGAATGTGGGTCGGACACCTGCTCACCTGCTCCTGCCCTGCAGGTTTACCTCCTGCTCCCCAGCTGATGAAAGGTGACCTTGGGCTGCTAACCACATCTCAGCTGTCATTCACCATGCTGAGATGGTGAAGGTCTTGAGATTAGGCTTTCTAGAGTCTTCAGCACTCTACCCGGCACATGGTAAGGACTTAATGCATGAATGCTGTTGGGTCCTGGACACGAGAGAGTCGCTCTTTCCAGAAAGCACTGTGAGTCACAGGGTGTCCTGTCTGGAGACTGTTCTTGAGCAAAACCTTGGGGGACTGGATTTAGCAGAAAGCAGCTCAAATTTGGACACCTCTGAACTCCTCCTCCTGGGTCTCTCAATTCACAAAGCCGTGCTTATTAACGTTTCATGGTATTTGTGTAGGGCCATGTGATTTCGTCTCCCCAGCAGGTTAGAAGCTCCTTGAGGGTAGGGCTGAGATGTCCATTCTCAGGTTCCCCAGAGACCTTAGCTCTGGGCTGCGTACAGGGTTAAGCTCTGCTGGCCAGAGAATGAGTCGATGGGCAGCAGCAAGCTGCAATATGAGGACTTTGGGGCCTCCCCGGTGGCGCAGTGGTTGAGCGCTGGGTTGCGAAGCTGCGCGCGGCCTCTGCGGCGCCGGTTCGATCCCCGGCTGCTCCCGGCCACCGGAGGAGGGTCCCACATGGCGTGCAGACCTCTCCTGCCGCCCGCTGCTCCCCTCAGCAGTGTACTTCGGTCCTTCTGCCTGCTCTGCTCCCCGCTCTGGCTCTGGTGAATTCTCTCGCCCTCCCACACTTCTGACTGTACCCAGTGCTTGTATAAACAAAACAAACAAACAAACCAGCAAACAAATAAATAAAGCATGCCTCTATAAAAAAAAATTAAAAAAAAATAAAAAAAAATATGAGGACTTTGGAACAGATTCTAGAAAGATCAGTGAGCAGAAGTTCTCAAACATGGCGAGCTATTGGGATCAGCCTAGATAGGATGTTCTGCCCTGTGGTTTGCCCTGGTTCTGGGCACTTGAACCTTGTGGTTTTAAAACCAGAACGGAGGGTCTCCTTGGACTTAGGACTTTTAGTGCTAAAAGATAGAAAGTCTCAGAAAAAGTGTAAAAGTCAATCCTGGGTGGGCTGGAAACAACTTGGTCACCCTACCAGGGAGCTTTGAATCATTCTGATACTGGGGCCCATCCCCGAGCCACTGACTGACAGGTGGAGGAGCAGGTTGGGCATCAGCGTGATGAACTGCCCAGGTGACTCTGAGCTTCGGAAGAGAATGAGGAATACATGTCCCTGTCCGGGCCTGGAGCGCACAGCTGAGCTCTGAGTGGGTCAGCACCACACCTGGAGCGCACAGCTGAGCTCTGAGCGGGTCAGCACCACACCTGGAGCGCACAGCTGAGCTCTGAGCGGGTCAGCACCACACCTGGAGCACACGGCTGAGCTCTCAATGGGTCAGCACCACACCGGCCCCCTTCAGACCTAGGCTGCCCAGGACGCAAACAAGCTTGGGACACGGACGCTGTGAGGATGCGGACAGATGACCAGTAGAGAAATTCCAAGTTATCTATGAGCCCCTGAAGTAGAATCACTGCAAGCCCAGAGTCCCCATCCTAACCACCTTATTCACATGCCCGCTCGCACCTTAGAAACAAGACCAAGATTATGCATCTAGGAAGGACCCTGAGGACTTCACTATCACAGTCACCTTGACTCGTCCCATTTGAGTTGATCTGCATCCAGAAGCCAACAGGTGAGGGGGCGGCATGGGGCCAGACCATCTTCCCTAATCCCTAGAACTCCCCCATTCTCCCAGGTCCCCTCTCCTCTTGCCTTGCAAAAGACCGCGTATCTGAACCTCACAGCTGAGACCACCTGCCTTCAGGGCCCCCCTAAACCTCCGCACACTAGATCCAGGGCGTCTCGATCCAGTGTCTTGTGGTAGAGGGATTCTTTTCTCCCGACCTCCCTCCCTGCCCCGCTCCGGGCCTGCAGTGAACAAATGTGGTACCAGTCCATTTCTCTGCAGACCAGCGAAGGGAGAAACACCCACACCTGCCTGGGTGACCCCGAGGGTGAGGGTGATCAGTTTCGCCGCCTTTTTGTGGCCAGAAGGATACATTCCTCAAGGGGAGGAAGAATCCGGGTCAGTCCTGTCTCACTAAAGAACTTGGAAGCCCTTGAGGACAGAAAACCGGGCTCACTGTGGTGGCGAGGGCTTGGAAAGGGGAGAAGATCTCCCCAAACTGATAGCACTTGCGCGTGTGGGTGTCTCCGAAGCGACTGCGGCGCTCCTTCCGGCCCGCCATCCTCTTCTCGGCCTTCATGTCCATGTAGCGCCGGAAAAGGCTCTGCTGGGGCAGGCTGGACACGTGCACCTGCAGAGAGGGGCCGGGACACAGGTCACCAGGAGCAGGTCACCCCCACACAGCAGACTCGAGGACACGCGGCCCTTGGGCACACCTCTTGTGCCTGCCGAGGTTGGGGCTTCCGTTTACCTGCCTTAATTTTCTGTGCCCTGCGAGGTGGGAAGGTCAACCCCTGGAATTTGTTGTGAGGAGCCAGGCAGCAGGTTGAGGATCAGGGCTCTGAGCTCCAGCCGTGACGGCAGCGCTCACCCCGGGGCCTGGGCTCGTCACCCGCCTCTAAGGGGGCAATTGGAGTTTTCTTTCAGCCTTAAAAAGATGTGGTTTATGGGGCCTCCCTGGTGGTGTAAGGGTCTAAGTGGCAGCACTAGGAAGCTGTCCACATGCCTGGCCAAGTAGCTACCCACATGGCGCAGCAGACCTCTCCTGTGGCGCACGCTGCTCCCCTCAGCAGTGTATTTCAGTCAGTCTGCCTGTTCTGCTCCCCACTCTGTCTCTGGTGACTCCTCTCACACACACCCCACCCCCACCTCTGGCCTGTACCCCAGTTCTTTTTTTTTATTTAAATTTTTTTTAAAGTTTTATTTATTTATGCATACAAGAACTGGGTACAGGCCAGATGTGTGGAGGGTGAGCGGATTCACCAAACACAGAGTGGGGAGCAGAACAGGTGGATCTACTGAAATGCACTGCTGAGGGGAGCAGCGGGCAAGACAGGAGAGGTCTGCTGTGCCATGTGGGTTGCTCCCTGGCTGGCTGGGTATTGAACTCGTGCTGCAGAGGCTGCGGATTGATTCACAGTGCTGTGCTTAACCCCTTGCACCACCAGGGAGGCCCTGTACCCCAGTTCTTATATACATAAATATTTTTTAAAAAAAGGTGCGACTTATGCAAAATTGTCACTGAAGAATGACCTGGGTGACGGCCATCTCCCCAGACGCAGGATGTGATGTGGGAGGGAGGCTCCTAGCTTGATCTAATCTCAGCTCTGTTAGAAACCAAGGAGCAATGGAATTGCAGCTCCTGGGGAGACACAACAGCCTGGGTGCCTGGACACCACCTCCCAAGTCCATTTCCCTTCGCTGCACCCCCTACCCCCCACCCACCACAGCGTCAGCAGTGAGCTCTTTACTGCAGGCAGCTCCTGCAGGAGGCTCGCAGCTTCACAGCTGAGCGCTCTGACTTTCAAGCACTTTGACCCAGGATTTGGGCTGGATCCCCCAGTTTCTCACCACCTACTTTCTCCCGGGCTAGTCTTTTTGCTCTGATAGCATGGTCCTACATTCTGCCTGGGCTCAATGTCTCCATCACAGCTGGCATCTCTTCTTGCTGTGCCCATGTGTGACCAGGGGAGAGAGATGTCCAGCTGAGGGTCTTGATGCGCAGGCCCACCCCAGGCATGCTTGGGCTGTGGCCCTCCCCACCTCCTGCCATTTGCACAGGGGGTTCTGCAAAAGCTGTCTCCATCCACATCTTGATTCTTTCAGGCTGCAGAGGCAGGCACATGGCTGCCAACAGAGGTGGATGGGTTCCAGCTGTGCCCTCCTTCTGGCCTGGACACCTGGGGGGGAGGGACATGCTGAGGAGTGGGTGGCTGGCTGGACACGCCACAGGAACCTCATCCCAATTAGGGGGTTAGGCCATTTCCTGCCTCCCACACAGCAGGAAACAGAGATGTGAGTTTTATTTCTCCCGGCCTCCACCATCGGGATAACAGCGCTGTGATGATGGCTGTGAGGCAGGAGATGGTGGGACTGAGGAAAATCAATGAGGGATTTCAAGGATCCCGCATCCCACTTTCTGCCGGGGTAACTGAGACCCCGCAAGGAAGCAGGACTTTTCCAAGGTCTCTTTGACACTTTCTCTTGCATCAAGTTTAAATTCATACATGTAGCCTGGGCAGGGTTGGGGGTGACTCTTTCCAAGAAGGCAGTTCCAGGGTCCACTCTGTCACCCATGGGCCTCAGACGGGGCCAGGCCAGACGGGGCCAGGGCTGTGCAGAGCAGCTGGGTCTGCAGCGAAGATGGGAGAGGCCGCCCCTTCTGGCCTCTTCTGGCCCTGCTCCCCTCCGATTTGACTTGTGACCTTTCTCTAGAGCACAGCTCCGTGAGGGCAGAGTTTTGTCTGGTTTGTTCTTTGTGAGTCCCAGCGCCTAAACAGTCCCGGTGTGGTAGATCACAGAAAGTGTGCACAAATAATTTGCAGCTCCCTGCGCCCCACACTATCTTCTAACAAATGGAATCTGTCTCCCCCTTTGTGTCTTGATGGGACTTGGACTTGCTTTGCTGTCAATAGAATGTGCTGGAAGTGATATTGGGTGAGCTCCAACCTAGACCTCAAGAGGCTGCCAGCTTCCACAACTAAGAGGCTTCCATCAGCAGAGGACCTGCTCAGCGTGGTGCAGACTCCTGGTGGCTCACTGCCATGAGTTTGACATCAGAGCCCATTTTTGCGTGCACCCCCTGTCTGCCTCGACCACCCCCTCCATTCCTCTTCTGCTTCTCCCTGACTTACTCTTACTCATCTTTCAGGACTGATTTTGGCTTCCAAGGCAGGGTCACCTCTACCTCTCCTACCACCCACCCCAAGTTATCTTCTCTTCTTCTGAGATTCTGTACCATTTACCCCCAAGTTCTATGTCCCCCACTTGACTTAATGGAGCGTCTCCCTCCTTGATCATGACCCAATTAAACCCTGAAATCTTTGCAAACAGGCCTGTTTTCTCCATCTAGAGGGACTATCCATCTGCAGGGATTATCCATCTACAGGGACTATATGCCAGGTAGGAGGTGGTCACACAGAAGTGTCAGGTGAATGAGCAATTACATTATGAAGAAGGCCACTTTGGATTTTAAGACAATAGGGAGAAGGGATTAGATTACCACCAAACTTCAAAAATATCCCTTTCACATAAAGCAAAATGAGTCTGCTAACCAGAGGGTGAGGCACTAGGGATGAAGACTTGCGATGTCTTACACAGCAGAGGCCCTCAAGAAATTCAGAGCAAGGGAAGGGGAGAGGGAGGCTTGTCCAGTCTTAAGGATTCCTCCTTTTTCCCCTTTCAGAGTTCTCTTACAAAGTTTACAAAGCATTAGGACTTATTTTGGGGTCTTATTTTCTCTCTTTGCCCTGGTCTTCCCAGAACTGGGGGGGACGGGGGAGAGCAGTGAGCAAGAATCATCGACTCTTGCTCTCTGCTCGCACTGGCACCTCCTTTGCTCACTTCCCCTCTGTGTGGGACACGTTCTCACTCTGTCTGCAAAGGATGAGGAAAACGGGGGGTCCTTGGAAGACTTACGTCATGTATTTGGAAGCTCTTTGGAGGAGATAGTTCCCAGCTGTGTCCCAAAGCTTTGTTGGTGCTCAGACTCGAGAACACAGGTGGCTGAACAGGCCCCAGGGAGATCGGCAGCTTCCAGTCTGTTCCAAGGAAGCAGGAGAGAAATGGCACACTGTAGCATCCAGCCATGGCCCTGCCTCCTTCCCCAGCTCTTCCAGGGCTGATGTCTTTGACCCGGCAGCATCACAGGGAAGCGGCTCATGCAACTGAGGAGAAAGTTGACCGCAAGCCCATAGCCGAGAATGAAACCTCTACTTAGAGATAAACGGAGCCTATACAGTGCGTGACTTGCTTTTCTGGAAGCTGAGAAGGGGCTAAGCATGGCGGCCAGTCCTCTGCGCCTGGTGCATTGTTGGTAAGTCACTTGGTTAATGTCACCTGAGTTGAGTTGATTCTCACTCTGGGTGTTTAACTGAGAAGATCACTGGGGCCTCTGCAGGGTCATTTAATTAGGTTAATTAAAGAGTGAATGGGATGACCCGCTCACGTTTTCTGGGGCTGTGTGGTAAATAGTTCAGGCTCTAGGGAACATGCAAGTGAGTGATGACACCACAACAAAGCTGTAGCCCACAGACAACACAAACTTTATTTATGGACACTACTGATGGACGTAAACTTTATTTATGACACTCTCGTATAATTTTCATGTGTCACAAAATACTGGTTTTTTTGGGGGGGATTATGAAACTGTCATTTATTATCACTTTTAGAGCTTAACTTTCATTTTTAATGAAGTAACATTTCATTATTAATTATGTAAGTTTCGGGGGTGTGTCACTGAGAATCAATATGCGTCCATACAGCCTGAAATTCACCATTAAAAAGTGTAATTTTTGAATTTTCATTCCAACCATTCAAAAATGGGAAAGTCAGTTTTTGTTTGCAAGCCAGGACAAAACCGGGGGCAGGACCAAGTTGGCCGCTGGGCCATAGTTTGCTGACCCCTATATGAGAGGATATTTCCACGCACAAAGGGACAGTGCTGCTTTCAAAGACAGAAGCTTGAAATTTCTCAGCAATTTCAAGATCTGTGTGTCTGCTAGATACCTGGCTGGAGAACAAGCCTTAAGTGACCCAAGCCCGGGCTGACCGGACTAACCCACTTAGAAAATCTGGGGTTCCCAGGGACCTTGAAGTCATCCAGTCCATTGCTTATCTATCTATCTATCTATCTATCTATCTATCTATCTATCTATCTATCTATCATCTATCTTTCTTCTATTTTCTTACATCATTGCAGTTCCCATAGCTCTCCCACCACCATACCACCCATGAACCATCACCATAGTCCCTTGTATTCTTTTTTTTTTTTAAAACTTTATTTATTTACTTATACAAGCACTGGGTACAGTCAGAAGTGCGGGAGGGTGAGAGAATTCACCAGAGCCAGAGCGGGGAACAGAACAGGCAGACTGACAAAGTACACTGCTGAGGGGAGCAGCGGGTGCAGCAGGAGAGGTCTGTCGTGCCATGTGGGACCCTTGCCAGTGGCTGGGGATTGAACCGGTGCTGCAGAGGCTGCAGGCAGCTTTGCAGCCCAGCGCACAACCGCTGCGCCTCTGGGAAGGCCTGTCCCTTGTCTTCTTCCCTCCCATTTTGACCCCACTACCTGCCTTGCTAAATGCTTCTGATCTATGGTCAGCCTGATAGTTTTGTCTTTTTCTTGACCTTTTGTTTCGTTTCTCTATATTCCACTTAGATGAAACCATCTGATAGTTATCTTTTTCCTTCTGACTTATTTCGGCTAGTATAATCCCTTCCAGTTCCATCCATGTTGCCACCAATGGCATGAGTTTGTCTTTTTTGATTGCTGAGTACTATTCCATTGTATAAATATACCAAACTTTTTATGTGACCACATTAAAACCGGCATAAGGATACAAGACTCCCTACTATTAAAAAATAAGAAGAACCAATTCCTAGAGTAAATGATCTCATCCTTGTATCCATTAATCATTCATTTTCATGCTGCCCAGCTTCCAGGGTGTGATGTGTTCTGCCTGCGTGTAGTCTATCCTGAATGACGGATTAGGTGACCATCTCTGTGAACATCATAGTGCGTCCTTCCCAGACCTATAGGCTTTGGGCACCTAGGCTGGGCAGTAGGCAGACCCAGACATCATTAAGCAATGCATGCCTGTAGTTGTTCTCTCACACACATGCACCAAAGGTGCAAATAATGCAAGATGCCATCTGCAGGTTTTCTTGCTCTTCCTTTATACTGAGTAGGCCAGCATCCAAGGTACTATCCATTTCCTTTCCCCTGGGTTTTAGGATATGATGCTGTTGAGAGCCAGAGGGAGACCTGGGTGATGATGGCTGGTGTGGCTGCTGGGTGCCTCCAGCAACCCACAGTCATTGCTCTTCTAACAGAATTTAAAAATAGAGACTGAAGTCAGCATCACACAGCAGTTTTCCCAGGATGCCAGAGTAGGTATTAAAAAAACAACTCAGAATGACTCTTTCTGGAGCCTGCCAAAACACTTAATTTTTTAAGACCACACTGAGATCCTGACATTCTAAAATGCTGTCATCGGTGGGAGGGGGTGGGGGACAAGCACAATCTCAAGCAGCATCTTGCACATAGTAGATTCTCAATAAATGCTTACAAAACGAATGCAAGAGGAAGAGGGTTTTGAAGAGCACTTGTGTCTGAACTGGAACTTCTGGCTTCTTTCCAGGAGAACTGGCCCGCTGTGTGCATCCTAGGTCTTTGCAGCAGCCTGCCATATTCTGGAGGGAAAGTTCCCCTTCAACTCCAGGCAAACGGAATCCAGTCTTAATTTTACAATGTCGGAGAACACACAGCTTCCTGTCTCAAACGGCTGCCACTGGTTAAGTGTTATCTCAAAAGAAGAATCCAGCTTCCTTGGGCTTTGCTGAAGCTGCCTTAGTCACCAAGTTTCCTCTTTCTGCAGCCTTGGAAGTAGCCTGCTGGTAGCAGGGAATATTCAGCAGGTAGCAGGGACCATCCCACATCCAGCTCAGGAAAGGTCTCAAGGTGGAAGGACCTGGGAGATTCAGAGGGATGGAGGAGGAAGATGCAGCTTTATGCCCTTTTTCCTATTTCTACCCAAAAATAATCGTGGTATTTTTGGGTGGGGAAGGTTGTGCTTTGGGGAATAGGAGAGGCAAAGAGGTTGTTGCTCTCCGGAAGTGACTAAACCCTGGAGAGAGATATACATATTCATAGAAGACTGGGAATTATTTTTTAAAAGATAATTTTTAAAAATTACATAGAAGCTCAAATCTCTATTACCATGCCTTCCATCCTCAAAACTCGTTACCTCTGGTACAAAAGTGTCTTTGCATGTTGGCATTTGGATTCTTGAATTCGTTAAGGAAGAGTTTGGGTTCTACTGATCTTTGAAGCCCCAGTACGCAGCACAAAGCTTGGCACATAGTAGGCGCTTTATCCATCTTGTTGACAGAGAAAACATAGAACATGCAAGCAGAGACCATGCTGAATACTGGCAGCTTTCTTGGCACCGTGGGCAAGTTAGCCCCCACCCAGGGGGTCTCTGATAAAATAGTTCTGACCTTGGAGAGTGACTTGAAAGGGTGGGACATGTGTTGAATTTCAATCTCTGAGCTGAGAATAAAAGGAAACAGGCTTTATTTCTGCTCTTGTTTCCTTGGCTCATCATGTCTTCAGCAGCTTCTCACCAAGAGGAATTTAGCTTTCAGATCATGAAGAAATTGTCAAGCTTTGGCTATAGCAGCTGTTCTCATCCCTGGCTAAGTTGGAGACTTCTGAGGGGCTTTAAAAATTCCAATGAGACGATGTATCCCAAGTCAAATGTGTCTGTGTTTTGGCAGGTGAGACTCTGGAGGAGCCCTCTGGGGGATTCAAATATGTGCAGCCGAAGCTAAAACCGCAGCGAGAGAGCTGAGTTCACCTGTGCTGAAGCAATAACCTCTAAAAGCTGCTCCTCTGGAGGCATCTTTTCAGGTGGAGACAATAATCCCGTGGCTTGCAGCATTTGAACGCAGTCAGCACTTTTGATTTTTAACAGAGCTTTCATCCAGCCCAGAAAGTCCTGACTCTTGAATATCAAAAAGTCATTTCGTTGGATTAAAGTTTTATTGCTTTCTGCCAACTTTTGAATGGTGGGGGTGGGGAGTGACACAGAAAGGCTGTGATTTCTTTGCTTGCACTATTATTTCAAGGCTTGCACTATTATTTCCTGAATCCCCAGCCTCTTATGGGGTCTGCCACGGTGCTGATGTCAAAAATGCTAAAATAGGGCCTCCCTGGTGGCACAACAGGTTAAGACACAACCTATGAAGCTGTTCGCAACCACTGCAGCACGAGTTTGATCCCTGGCCAGGGAGCTACCCACATGGCGCAGCAGACCTCTCCTGTCTCCCTGCTGCTCCTGTTATAGGACAGGGAGAGGGGCAGCCCAAACCCCGCAAACCTGCCTATACTAAATGGGTTCTGCCATCCGCCGCATCAACACAAAACATAGGAGACTTTAATGGGAAGGCTCTTTAATAAAACTAGGAAACAATACAGGTAAGGCAAAGAGTCTAGTTTCTAAATGAAGCACCCAAAGTTACCCATCCCCTCGTGGGTAAAAGTCCATCCATATGGGATCGGCCCAGAACAAGGCCCCAAAGTCTACCACAAGTCTAAAACATCTTCCAGTGGGGACCCACAGAAAAGGGTCACAAACAACCAGACAAGCCCGGAAGGAAAAGAGCAAAATCAACATCAAGATAAAAGCTGCCATGGTCACCTCCCCACGGGTCTCACCCACATCTGTGTCACCCAGTCCATGACCAAAAGACAAGCACAGTTTCTTCACGTGTCTCTAGGCTCCATGCGCCTCCTCCAGGTCTCCTGGCTCCATCCTGCTTCCTTCCTTCCTCAGTCTCTTCTGCAGCTTCTCCTCTTCCTGCTCAGCTCCACCCTCCCTTGGGTGGGGCAGGGAACCTCCCCCTTTCCTGGGGACCACCCTGTTACACTCCCTTCAGCAGTGTATTTCAGTAGATCTGCCTGTTCTGCTCCCCACTGTCTCTGGTGAATCCTCTAACTCCCTGCATCTCTGGCCTGGGCCCTAGCTCTTGTATGCATAAATAAATAAATCTTTAAAAAATGCTAAAATAATATACCAGTGCCTCTTGCCAGGTCTTACTGTTGTGTTCACCATTGCACTTAATGCTTCTAGCCAAGCATTTGAAACAGGTCCTACAGACAGGATCTTCATTTAATAAGGTTTAGTAATAGGCCCCTCCTGTGGCGCAGTGGGCTGAGTGCAGTGTTGTGAAGCTGTCCACAGCCTCTGCAGCACAAGTTTGATTCCTGGCTGGCTAGGGAGATACCCACATGGCATGGCAGACCTCTCCTGTCTCTCCCGCTGCTCCCCTCAGCAGTGTTTTTCAGTCCGTCTGCCTGTTTTGTTCCCTGCTCTGAGTCTGGAGAATCCTCTCACTCTCTTGTGACACTGGCTTGTACACCAGCTTTTGTATAAATAAATGAAATTTAAATATATATATATAATTGAAGTTTAAAACCAAATAAAAAAAGACAAAAGGGCCTCCCCTGGTGCCACAGTGGTTGAGCGCTGGGCTGCGAGGCTGCCCGCAACCTCTGCGACACCGGTTTGTTCCCCGGCCGCCGGCAAGGGTCCCACAAAAAAAAAAAAAAAAAAAGACAAGAATAACATTAAAAAAATAATAAGGTGTAATAGCAGAATTCTAAGTTGGCCCTAAGATTCTGCCCCCTCGTATGCATGCCTTATCTAATCTCCCCTTGAGCAGAGGCCAAGCCCACAACTCTGATGGGTTGAGACACATGATGATAGTGGTTATGGCAAAGAGGAAGGAACTTTGCAGATGTCATTAAAGACCCTAATCAGTTGACTTTAATCAAAGGAAGCTGATCTTGGGTGGGACTGACCCTAGGAAGGTGATCCCTTTAAAAGCAGCTCTAGACGTTTGACTCAGGCCTTACGGCCTTGGTTAGCCAGGGTGTGTTCCAGAGTGACAAGGACAAAGATTCCCCAGTGACTTGGCCTCAGATGAGACCTTGAACAGAGGACCCAGCTATCTGCATCTGGATCCCTAAACCACAGAATTTGGGGGATAAAAAGCAAGTGTTAATCTAAGCTGATAAGTCTATGGTAATTTGTTACAGAGCAATAGAAAACAAAGACACCAGTGATGAAATAATGGTGTAAAGAAGTTAAAGGAAGGAACTCCTGGTGGCATAAGGGGTTAAGTCTCAGCGCTATGAAGCTATCGGCAGCTACTGCACCACGAGTTCCATCCCTGGCCAGGGAGCTGATCCACATGGCGCAGCAGACCTCTCCTGTCTCACCCGCTGCTCCCCTCAGCAGTGTATTTCAGTGGATCTGCCTGTTCTGCTCCCCACTCTGTGTCCAGTGAATCCTCTCTCACCCCGCACCTCTGGCCTGTACCCCAGTTCTTGAATTCATAAATAAATCTTTAAAAAAAGAGATGTAGGTCATTCAGAGGACAATGATGGGGGTAGTGCAGAAAACTCAAATTCAAGTCATTCGTTATTTGGGCCATATCAGAAGAGGGGGAATAATTAGACCGAAGAAGGATAAATCCAACGGAGGGCGAACAGTTATTTTCAAATTTCTGGAGGCAAATGTAGAGGAGGGAGCAAACTCATTTGCCCCATTTCCAGTGGGTGGAATTGGAACCTGTGATGGAAACTTCCAGAAGGCCGATTTGGATGTGGGCTTGGAATTGGATTGGCCACAGCTGCAGAGATGAGGTGGGCCTCTCAGTCCATGGTTCTGTCCCTGGCGGTGCTACAGCCCAGATGGACTGGGGCACACAGGGCTGCATGCCAGGCCCAGCAAACATCCACACGTGACTCCTCTGCTCAGTTAGAATTTTCTTAGTGTCAGGCTCTGCGTGTCAGATGACGACCTTCAAGATCTTTCCCAACTATGTGATTCTTTGATGTCCTGAGTCTAAAGAGCTCCAGGGAACCCCAGCGAAAACCAAGAAACTGCAATCTGGGGTGCTGGGCACCACGTGCCACCTGGACCCTTCACTCTCTACTTTCTTTCAATCATCTGTTCCTTTCTGCAAAGCAGCAAGCCAGTCGCGCTTTGCTTTAAACCACCCAGCTCGGCGAGTGTGTCTGGGCAGGATGTGCAGTTACCCAATATTGGTCCGAATGATGTGTTTTGCTGATTCTGACAAATTGGAGCAAATGTTCCCTTTGATCTGCAATCCTCCAGATCTCCCCAGAAACCCCCTGAGCAGGGGTGGGTTATATGCAAGGGCTGCGGTTCAGATTTCATACAACACATGGCTTCTGACGGGGGAGCAGCGGCTGTGGATTCTTCAGATAAGTCACCCTTGCTTGTCTCTGCACTCAGATTCCAAAAATTGCTGTGGAAACCGCACATTTCCAAGCAAGCTTGTTTCTTTTTAAACATTTCTGAATCCTCCCTCCCCTTACACACACACACACACACACACACACACACAAACACACATTCCATTGTCCATTGGTACCTCTGAGATCTGTGGATATTTCCTGCCAGGATCTCGTGCCTGGCAGAAGCTCCGTGGGCCTGGGAGTGCCCCTTCAGGCAGGACAGCCACCTTGCTCTCCAGCTGGCCAGTCTCCGAGCCAGGCGGGCTGACCAGGTCGGGCCCCTTTTTCTTTGCACAGCATCAGGCTTGCAAGATATAGCGAGAGCAGCTTGGCAGCTGTGTAGGTCGGTCTGACGCTGGTAAAAGCCTCTGTTGGAAAACTTGCTTTGTAATTTCCTGAGCCTTTCAGGGTCAGAAGTGGGTAGGAACCCCCCAAATGGAAGAAAATCCTAATCACTTTCAAGTGGGAAGAAAATAAGAAACAGGCTCTTATGGGCACAGCCTGTGGATTCTAAACTGCAGGCTCCTAGGATAAGTATTTGCAAAGTTTCCAAAGCACTACTGTCTTAGGGAGAAGCACCCACATTCTCCAGGGGTGATTTATTTGGCCCAGGCTGGGCCACAGTTGGGTGGGAGTTGGGCTCACCCCCACCGTCCCAGACATGTTCTGAAAGGCCAGAGATGAACTGAAGATGGACTGGGGTCCCTTAATGCAGCCTCTGCGTTTCAATTTTTGATCATCTTTATTGGTTTCATTCCTTTCAATGCCTGGGACAGTGCCCGGTGCCTGGTGAGTGCTTAGTAAATATTTACCTTCTGAAAGAGCGAAGCCATTTTTGTATTCTATGCTCTCCCCTCACGTCCTGCCATTTCGCTGACTTTGCATGAGACCAAGGTTAAAAAGCAAAGGATTTTTTGATCTCTCAATGGAACTAGAAGGGAACAAAAACTGGCAGATTTGGAAGAGCATGGCAGGTGTCTGGGAAAGCTGGGGGCTCACATGCAGACCCCAGCAGAGTGTCGCCGAGTCTCAGGGGTAGCCCAGAAGTTTCTCCCACCTGCCTCCCACTTGTCTTTTTGCAGCCAATTCTGAACTTGTCTGCAATAAAGATGGTGGACTTGCTTTGCTTCAAGAGGCTGAGCTCTCTATCTGGACATAAAGGGTCTCTCCTCTCTGTCCTTTTGCTCCATCTCTTCTCTATCCTCACTCTACCATTCCCCTTAATTACTAGCCTTAGTCCTGGGGCGTCCAACTGAGTTTTGCAAAAGGTCCATTTTCCAATCTCTGCCTTATCTGGTTCACATCTTCCCAGCTTGTATTGCTCTGAAGGTGACTAAAACCAAGATGTTTAAGAAAATTGAAACTGGTTTCCAAAAGTGAGCAGCATTGGGCACAGCTAAGCAGCTTTTCTAATTCCGTGTGAATAGGGCTCTGGTAATAATTAGGAGAATTTATGTATCCCCTTCTGGCAATTGTATTTTTTCACTCTGTTTAGCACTTGAAGTAAGTGATAGCTCTGTGTTAGGGATCAGAAAGGGTTGCATCTTCCAGTTAGTAAATGAGGCTTAAAAATGAGGCTTAAAAAGAACTTTTCACCTTAAAAATACCCCTTGCATTTTCCTCTATCCATGAGGCTCACTTGGCATAAACATCATGTAGATAAATTTGCAAGACAGATGCAAAGATGGCTTGCCTCTGTGCCCCCCGACCCCCCAATTTACTCAGCACAGACAGGGCAGGCAATCCCACCCATTTAACCTGGGTGTAAATTAGACCTCGGAAAGCCACCTGCAAAGATATGTCACCCCGTGCTACAGATAGGTGGGGTCTCTGCTCTGCGCCTCAGTGCCGGGCCCACCGCCCCCTGCTTGAGGGGGTCCACCGTTTGTTCCTTGTATTCAAGGGACACTTCATTGCTGATGGCTGTTTACTGCCTTCCTGGCTTGTGCCTGGGGCTCAGGTCTGTGCTTTGCTGGGTTGAGAGCTCAGTTTGGAAGAGCTTAAGTCTGTAGCAGTCAAGGCACTGAAAGGGGAGTTGTGTCGCAGGCCCTTAGCCAGAGCCCAGCTGTCCCCAGTGGTGAGCTCTGCTTTTCCTTCTAAGAATCAGGGTCTGGGAGGAGGAGGCTGACTCTGGGCCCCAGGACACAGCGTGGCCTTGGGTCTAGCTGGCAGCAGACCTCTTTGACCCAGCTCCAGAGTAGATCTAAACTAGGAAATGAGAGCTTTCCCAGTGCAAGTTCGACTTGCTATTTAGAACCCGAATTCCTCCTTAGTATTAGTCATGTCTTATCCCATCAGTGCTACCTTTCCCCGGAACTGCAGCTCCAGGACCCCGTGTCATCAGTCAAGGGGGGTCTGCAAATGCCCGGCACTGGCCTTACCCTTGGTGTCTTTTCTGGGCTCAGCTCTGCTGAGAGAGGGGCCTTCCTCCACCACCTCGTCGGCTCCTGTCTCCTTGGCCTTGTCCTCCAGGTCTGCGGCCCCTTCCCCGTTCTGCAGCAGCCGACTGCCAGGCTGCTCTTGGGGCCGACCCCCTGGCTTCTTGCTCTCCCTCTTCCTCTCGTGGGGAACTCTAGACATAAAAGCCACCATCAGAGGTGATGTTCTGAGCGAGTCAACAGCCCCCAAATGTGCGGCCCCGTGGTCCTAAGTGGAAGGAGCTGAGCTGGAGGTGCCACGTTCATGAGAAGTTATTACATCTGGGAGGAGACAAGCTGATGCTCTCAGCTTCCTCTGGCGTAGAGCAGTGAGGAGAGGAGTGCAGGGCTGGCCTGGGCAGTAGGACCAAGGGAGGAGAGGTGTCCCAAGTCTGATGGTCCCGAGGTGACACCAAAGACACATGCACACCCCCCTCCCCCAAAGGAAACCATTCTTTTACATGGATGAAACACAGCTAATATGGGGTAGAGTTATCCTGCATATCAAACTGTGCTTGTATCTCCAACCCCATGATATCAATTATTGGTTTTTTTTGTATTGTGAAAGCAGTGGGTGGGCGGGTGGGTGGGTGAGTGGATGCATGGGTGGGTGGGTGGATGGAAGGGTGGGTAGATGGATGGATGACAAAGCATGGTGAAGGTGGAGGGAAACAAAAGGCAGTAGATTCAAGATCTCAATTGTGACAGGGTGAGTTGGGGTGTGGGGCATGTTGAGTCAACCCCAGTGATGACCAGAGTCAGAGAGGAACAGGAGGTGAGGAGCTTCTGTGCTGGAGAAAGTTGCGTCTGTGTTTTGTGGAGCATTCTGCTGCGTAAGGGCTCAGGGAGCAGCGTGTGACTTTTCTTTGTGTCTCACGTATCTGCAGAAGCACTAAGCGGTCACATCTCTGTTGGGTTTTTGCCCTGAAACCCAAAGGAATTTAACCTGCAGCCAGCATTCTAGAGCGGGTCACAAGAAAATGGCTAACAATTTCAGAATAACAGTGCCCCTCTAGGGAGCCTTAGATTAACACCAGACACGGGACTATCCTCCCGGATAGTGGATGGGCACTTGAAATTTTCTTTATACCATCCCAAATTAAAAAAAAAAAACAAACTGCATCATTTTCTTTTATGACTTTCAACTTGGTTTCTGAAGTTGTGGTTTTAGAAGAGCCTCTGCTCGCTTTGAAGAATTCTCTTGTCTTGTGTGAGGCAGACTAGGAGGCAGCCTGGGTAGTGGAGCTGACAATCTCTAGCATATTTTGACCCATTAAGAAAATCTACACTGGGGCCTCCCTGGTGGCGCGAGGGGTTAAGACGCAACCTACGAAGCTATCTGCAGCCACTGCGGCTCGAGTTCGATCCCCAGCCAGGGAGCTACCCACATGGTGCAGCAGACCTCTCCTGACTCACCCACTGCTCCCCTCAGCAGCGTATTTCAGTCGATCTGCCTGTTCTGTTCCTCACTCTGTCTCTGGCAAATCCTCTCACCGCCCCCCATGCCCCTCCCGCCCCGGCCTGTATCCCAGTTCTTATATGCATAAATAAATACATCTTTAAAAAAAAGAAAAAAGAAAAAGAAAATCTACACTGAATGCACATAGTATACATTTTTCCAGAGCCCAACTCAAGGAACTGTGAGTGTTCCCTCCACTTGGGATTCTTGCTTATAAAGTTGTTGTTGAACATCAGCATCCACCAGACCAGAGATGGATGCAGATGACCATGGGCCCAGGGGACCAATTAAGCCAGACCTTCTCAAGAAAAACTGGGCCATCAAGTGACCGCTGGGGAGCCGGATGTCCTACACATCCTGGCACTTAACTTGTACCATAAAACACTGACCAGAAGAGAATTCTTTTTCAAGGGCCCCAAGTCAAGTAGCCTGCGGGGAGCTGACCAGATTTCCATCTGTTTCAAATTAAATGTGTTTATCTTTGCATCTCTCCCCAGCTCAGCATAATCAGTTAGAGAATATCTTCTGTGATCTTAACTGAAAGCACATTTTTATAAGTTGAACTGGCTGTTTGCTTTCACACACAAGGCATCGACAGTTCCTCTTCACATTGGAACTGATGGGTGTGCTTTACTGGAGCTTGAGACTGGTGTCGTGGGCACTGTTCATTCAACACTCATTTTTATTGTTCTCTTATGTCCCAGGCTCTGTGTTAGGTGTTAGGGGTGGAGCAGGATAATACATATGTAAGTAGAGTTCATTGTTGTTTGTGCTCGGTGCCAGAAAGGAAATGAATGGGCGGTGGAGGGTTGGGCGTGAGGAGAAAGAGAGAGAGAGACACTGTCAGGAAGGCCCTTTTGTATTAGGTGATCAGAAAAGGCTATTTGGGCAAAAGGAATTAGAAAGTGAGACCAGAAGGATTAGAATAAATCATTCAAATAGAAATGGGGATGGAATTCCGGGCAGAGGAAATAAGTGCAAAGGCTTTGGGACAGTCAAGGGCTTGGACTATCTAAGGAAGAGAAAACAAACCAGTGTGGTTACAATAGACAAGAGGGAAAGTGACCTCAGATGAGGATGGAGCAAGGCCAGGGCCAGACCAGGCAGGACCTCATGGGTGATGCTGAGGATTTTTGATTTCATGCTAGAAGTGATGCAAAGCAGTGCCGTGCTCGTGTTTCATGAGGATTAAGCTAGAGATCTGTGAAGGACAGACTGGAGAGGGGAGAAGCTAGAAGGCCAGGGTGATGGTGCTGGCTTGCAGCCCCGACACTGGGAGGTGGGTGGATGCGGAGGCTCTGTGGGTAGACACGACAGGACTCACAATGCGCTGGTGAGAGGGTGCCAGGGAAAAGGAGGACGAGAAAGACCAACTGGTATTTGACTTGAGTACCAGTGTGGATGCTGGTGCTACTTACAGAGACGGGAGATCTTTGGGGAGGAAGGACAGCTTTGCTGGAAGGTGGGGAACAGAAATGGAATTGAACATTTTCATGGGCGAGACCTGTTCCTAAGCTCCATGTAGTAACCAAGCTGTCTTTTGGCAATAAAGTCTCTTGAAAGGACACACTTTATATCTTATTGCTAAAACTTTAGGGGTAATGACAGAAACAGTTGGAAGAACAGGCAAGGGGTTTGAGACAACTCAGCTGGGGAAACTAGAAATGACTCAAGGATTGGCAGTAGATTCGAGAGGATGACATGGCATATGGAACTGCAGAATCATGGATTTTCTCCTTTGCAACTTCTTGTCTGATCAGACTTTAGTTCTGTACTGGAATAAAAATGCTAGTGGTTGTGGGTGCAGGGACATCAGAGGGATGTGAGAGAGATGGTGGAAGCATCTAGAAAGGAGGACGAGTCACGATTAAGAGAGAAAAGGGTGTTGGAGCTACTCTTGGGAGCTGATAAAATCTGCTTATTTGATATTGTCCTTTTGTCCTTTGAGTTACAGCAAGTGGAACTCTTTGTTAAAGTTACTCTTTAAAAATGACATTTTTCTCTTAAATCAAATGTGAAAGAGCGAGCCAAGTCGCCTCTCAGCTTTTCTTCAGTCAATTCTCTGTCTTCCTATTAATTTTCAGCAGATTCTGTTTGTTTTTCCACCTGCCCACTTCCCTGGACGCCCCGTCCCATGCTTTGCTTTGCTTTGCTTATCTCATTTTCTGTTTGATGTTCTAAAGTCGTCCGTGGTTCTTTTAGGAAGCATTATATTTGGATGGTTGGGGAGCAGACAGCCATGCGAAATGCATTATCTTGAGGTTATCTCTGGTACTGACTTGGAAGAAGAGCTGGTCCCAGTGGTTTTCTGGTTTGTGTGTCTAGAATCTCTGTTATGTGGGCGAGTTGTCTGCTTTTAGTTGCGAAAGCTGAAAGTTTTGGAATCACAAAGGCCTGAGTTGAGTCCTGAGCTTGGCTGTTTCTTCTATTTTATATCTTGGGGATTGTAACTCATCTCTTTGAATCAGTGTGTTCATCTGCAAGTTGCGCTTAAGACATGTATGGAAATTACAGGGGTGTAGTGAGATTAAGTGATGTGATACGTGGCAAGTTCTTAGCATGATGCTTCATTCTGGTGACCACAAGTAGTGTCTCTTGTCATTATTATCAAACTTACTTACATAATCGCTGTGGTTTGACAGGAAGCAAACAGTCTTGGTTTGTGATCCCAGAAAGGCTGTTGACAAGCATTTTCAGCAGTAGGTAGAGAGGGATTAGGATGCCTTTTCTCTGTCACAGGCGTGCGAAGGTTGCAAACTAGGAGCTTCTGGTATGTTTCACTTACCCATTTTTCAAATCGAATGAGAACATTTAAATTGAGCAATTAAATTAAAAAGTGAGGATCCTTCCTATGCAGGGTGGATTATAAGCTTATCTTGCGAAAACACATCTGGTCACATGTATCCCTCCCCACAGCTCGCCGCCAGTCCTGATGGGGAGTCAGCTGGATTTATCCTACCTACAGTAAGTCATCAGTAGGTGTAGCTTGCACTGACTTGGAGAAAATTGGGATTGTTAAGGCAAAAAGCAAAAATAAAAATAAAAAAACAACAAACAAAAAACAGAGGCTATTTTAAGATCCTTGTCTCAAAATGGCATTTTGAATCCAAAGCAAGGCAGACGCCAGGTTTTGTGTGGAAAGAAACAAGTGTTCTAAATTCCTAGCAGTTTCCTTTATAGAGCCCAGCTAGATCCAGGAGGGTCAGAGCCATTGTGCCAAGTGGGCAGAGGAAGTGGTGCTTGGGAAAGTCACAGCAGACAGGAAGAGGAAGAAATGTTGCCACAGGAGATGGGAAAGTGATACAGAGAGGGTAAAACTGCAGTTTGGTCACCAAGAAGTGCCTGCCTCTGCTCCCGGGATCCCTGTCCTGCACCCCCCACCCCCCAGGCTGCAGCAGAACTGGGGCAGTGGGTGACAAGTCATTAAAATCTTCACAGGGACCCCAAGGGATTGGATGGAAAGTCAGCATGTCCTGGCTCAGGACATGTGGCTTCTTTGGAGGCTCAGGAACACCCAGGGGCGAGGGATCCTCCCAGGCGGGGTCCTGTCTGCTCTGGTGAAAGGACACCAAGGTGTTGGGAGAGCTGTGTCCTGGCATAGGCCTGTGGTCAGGCAAGGAAGTGAGAGGCCACAAAGCGCAGGGATCTGGTGATTTGAGGGACCACAGAGACCTTAGGCTTCAGCAACCAATGTCAGCAGGATGCCCACAAAGTCAGTGATATCAGCCATCTAAGTGAACACCAGCCCAGGACATTTCGGGAGAAGACCAGTCCAGAACCGAGGTCCCAAGGACCCGGGCAGGAGGATATGCCTGCTTTCCTCTGCACTTGGTGGGGAAGTGACTCCTTGAGTGATGGAGGAAATAGCCTTTGAGTCTATTGGATGTTTACCCAAATGAGGCTGAATTAATCTCGAAGTGAAATGTTGCACACAGGAACAGGGTAAGTTACTCTTAATTGGCAATTTTTATTTTATCTGCCATAAGGAGGAACATGAACTCTGGAGTGAGAGAAAGCAATGAGGACGAACTTCATCTACGGGATACCCCAGTGTCCTACGAGATTCTGATGCTTCTCTTTGATGTCTAAGACAGATCCTTTACACTGGACCTTTGCCTTTGAACCCCTGAGTCACAGTAAGCTTAGCGGGTGAATAGATTTTACCTAACACAACCATTGCTGATGCTTGCTGAATGATTTTAAATATAATACTACTAAAGGAAATGAATACAGAAAGAAAAATCGCCTCATTCCCTCTACCCTATCACAGACATTCACTTTTTAAAAAATATTCCCTTATCCAAGGATCCAGACCCTCTCCAGAAGAAAGACCATGTTGCTAAAACCCAGCCGCTTGTCCTGGATAACACAAAGGGAGAGAGAGACGATCTGGTTACCTGACATCATCGTAGGATAACATGCTCCTGTTTACTTGAGAGAACTTCCAGTTAGTGAAATGGGACATTCTTCGGATGGTGATTGGATTTGACAGTGTTGACAGAACTTCACTATTTCCTACTTCTTAGCCTTTGCCTTTATAAAAAATCCCAGGATTCATGGGGATTCCTTGCCATCCTTTCTCTGGCATCCTAGACCCTGACTTGGGACTAATAGGCTTCTTTGGAATGTGGACATTATGATGCTTCTGGAAGAATGTTGCAGATGGAATTCCATTAGGTTAGCCATGGTACAACTTCACTTATATCACTAACCCAGAAGATAGAATTATGTACCTAGAGAAAAATTGATCTTTACCTTCAGACCCTTAGCTTAACAAAATGAGAGACAACAACGAACTAAAATAGTACCTTTTTCTTCTATTTAAAAATATCTGTGTTAGTTGACCAGTAGGCTCATTAAATACTACTCTTCATTCAAACAGGTCTCCAAATTATCACTGCTTCCAAAAAATTCTGAGCTCTCATTGAAGTTACTCCATAGTAACTTCATTAACTTAGAAATGAATCAACTCTTTTCTTGAAAATGTATTAATTTATTGACTCCAACTAGATGCTTAGACATTCTCATTTAGTCATTCAACGAAAACATGTTGAGGGCCAACTCAGCCAGGCGTTATGCATTCAGCCCAAAGTAGAGGTTTCATTATGAAATGGAACTAGTGAAAAGAACTGTTTTTCTTGAATTTCTTCTTCAAAAGTCTCTTTACGGTTTCCACTGACGTGGGAGAGTTTAAATGCAAACATAGGAGGACCAAAACATGAATGAATGACATTTGCAGTCACAAAAGACAAATTGTGCCTTTACCGTTAAGGACAAATAGATTTGAACACATCCATGAAGTACAGAATGAAAATTCGGAGCCACAAAGAGCTTATTTTACTAAGAGAAGGCTCAGTGGGGCACAATTTCTGTGGTGTATTCTGGATTTTAGTGATCATGCACAAATATAAATCTCTTCAAAAGGAAACAGAGTTCAAAAAATAACCAAGATTTTGCTTAGGTCTTCCAAAGAGGTGAAGAATGTCATTGTTCAAACTGGGACATCCTCTGTGTGATGGAGCAACTGGGGACTGAAGACGCAAACAACTTTGGGGAAGAATAAAGGCATCTAACAACTTTGGTAAATATCTCAATGCTGAGGATGTTTGGGGGGCTTTGTGAGTACCGCAAGTGAGTACTGAGACCTTTTCTTGTGATGATCCTTTCTAGAAGAGGGGGAGAGAGAAGTTATGTTTAAAGGGCCTCTGCTCTTGAGTTGTCATGGTAGCAGGTGACACCCACAAATATACATGCACAGGGCCCTCCCTGGTGGCGCAAGGGGTTAAGCACAGCACTATGAAGTTATCCAAAGGCAATGCAGCATGAGCTCAATCTCCAGCAGGTCAGGGAGCAACCCACATGGTGCAGCAGACCTCTCCTGTCTCGCCCGCTGCTCCCCTCAGCAGTGTATTTCAGTGAATCCGTCTGTTCTGCTCCCCACTCTGTCTCTGGTGAATCCTCTCACCACCACCCCATCCCGCACCTCTGGCCTGTACCCCAGTTCTTGTATGCATAAATCTTAAAAAACAAAACAAAACAAACTCACTCTTAGTCTTTAAGGAAGAATTAAGAAAAGGTCAGCTTCATTGACACAGAGGGACACACTCATAAATAAAACCACCAGTCTCCCATACTGTCTCCAAGGAAGTTTTCAGGCCTTTTGCAATGAAGTTAGTACCTTTCCCAGGGTCAAAGCTAAATGGTCTGTAGAGCAGCAATTCGGGCAGAGGGATAAAGGAGAGTCCTGGTGCCCTCAGTGGCTTTTTCAGGCTTTAATGCTCTTCCTATGCCAAATGTGGGGTGAGCCTGCAGGCTGGCAAGGCAGGGAGGCCAGGGGGTCGGGCGGTTGGCAGACCCCCAGCCCCCAGTGAATCTGTAAACTATTCTCTTTGGGCTCTCTCTGCTGTCACCTCATGGTCCTGCCTCTCTGTAGTCACTTGTCCTCTCATTGCTGTTCCCCGATAGCCATTCTCAGCCTCTGAGTGATGCTGCCCTTACAGGCTCCTCTTCCAGGCTCAGGTGTGCACACTCACGCACGCCCACACCATGCTCCAGGTGTGCACCATCAGGCAAGCGCGCCTTGGGCCCACGCTCCCAAGAGCCTTCTGCGTTGGGATAATGGTGTGAGAGGCTGACTGTCTCCATTTATCCTACATCGTGCAAAGCACACCATGACCTTTCCATGAAAGGAGTGGGATTTTGCTGATGCTGAGTTTTGGATTTTAATGACCCCCTCGAATCTGGCCAGTCCTCCCCATGATCACAGCAAGGGTAAAAATACCAACAGGAGTGCTGTAAATAGCATCGTAGACCTTTTGCTGTACAAAAGAGATTCATGGGCATTTTCCTATTTGACCTCATCAACAATGCTGTCTGGGAAATTATAGTTATTTCCATTCCTGAAGCGGGAGAGGCTGAAGTGCAGAGAGATGAGGAGACTCATGCTTGTCCATTGTATAACTTCTTAGTCGGGGGGCTGAGGATGGGAGCCCCAGTCTCTACCTAAACATTGGGGACAATGTCATGCTCTCTCATTTCTGAGCAAAATGTAACACACTTGTAGCAGGGAAGATTGAATATCGCAGCCTATCTGGGTTGTGATAATAAAATACCATGAACTGGATGGCTTATACATAACAGACATTCATTTCTCACAGGCTGCATAGTCCTAGGTCATGGCGCTGGCCGATTAGGTGTCTGATGTGATCCTGCTTCTTCGTACCCAAGTGGCTGTGTGGAAGGGGCTGGGGGCTCTCTGCATCTCTTTTATTTTTATTTTTCAAAGATTTATTTATTTATTTATACATGCACTGGGTACAGTCAGAAGCGCGGGAGGGTGAGAGAATTCACCAGAGCCAGAGTGGGGAACAGAACAGGCAGAAGGATCGAAGAACACTGCTGAGGGGAGCAGCGGGCGCGGCAGGAGAGGACTGTTGCGCCATGTGGGACACTCACCGTCGGCTGGGGATTGAACCTGCGCTGCAGAGGCTGCGGGCAACTTCGCAGCCCAGCGCTCAACCGCTGCGCCACCACGGGAGGCCCTGCAGCTCTTTTATAAGGTCACTAATCCCTTCATGGACTCCTTCCTCCCAATGCTGCATCTCCCAATACCATCCTACTGGGTGCTGGGATTTTACAGAGGAATTTTAGGGGGGAGGACACAAACTTTAATCTATCACGCTGATGTTCATAAAAGTAAACACAGCCCAATATTGAAACGATGGGTTTTTAAGTAAATGCCTAAATAAAAATTTGCTGATGGTGTTGTTTTTACAAAAGCAATCCTAAATCCTTAGGGGATGAGATACACGCCATATTTTTCTACTAGCCTGGTAGGTAATTGATTGTTGGCAAAGCTTCACAGTAGAATGAGTTAATTCTTTAGGAACAGATTTTCCAGATTTGGGGACACACTAAAACATCATCAAGTTGTGTCACTTGAGAATCTGGGGCCTTGTCATATGTAACAGGGGAAATCTGCTGACTTACTCAGTGTATGAAGATGATATCGCAGCAAGAAGTTAATAAGAATCTTTCATATAAAATGACATTTCCTGAGATTTATATAACACAGTGGATATAAATGATTATGGGGAAGACAGCCTCTTAGCAGAAAGGGTCCTCCTCACCCTGCCTTGCTCCTGACGTCACCACCAATTAATGTAACTAGGAGAGAAGCCAGCAGGGATCCGCCTGCCCTTCCTTTGTGGTTCAGCATCTCGCCCTGGGACAAACATGCCTACTTTCAGGCTCCACATTCCACACAAAGATTTCTCCTTCAAAACTGGTGGTGGCAAGATGATCTAGAGATGGCCAGTGCCCCACAGCTGCAAAATGTGGAGATGTCTTCCTTTCCAAGAACAGTAGGCACCATCCCCAGGAAAGGTCTGGAAAGAACCATAGAGAAAGACACTAATTTGGGTCCTAGGGAGGAGAGGTCACCCCTGTTTAGTGAACTGGGTTGACACTGAGAGCTCCATAATATAAAATCAGCTTTAAGAAATCCAAATCTGAAGTCTGCTGATCCCTGCCCTTCTCCCCAGTAGAGAGCGTGCACCCCACATCCATCCCAGACTGCTTTCTGGGGTTTTCTTCTCTGGTCCTAATTACAAGGTGAGCCAGAGACACAACAAGCAGTCTCTCCTCTTGCTGGCGATCTTGCGGTCCATTTCTCCCACCTTACCCACTCATTCTGCCCCCTCAACATACTCTTGGAATTACTGTATTTTTCTCTTCGTGTTTATACTGATTACATATTTGTTGGTCTTGTCTCTCATACACCCACCTTGAAGGCTGGGGATGGGTCTTTCCTCCATTCTCCATTATGTAGAGTGTCTGCTCACAGGTTTCCGTGCCCGAGGGGGCATTGCCAGCACTTGTTTACCAACTGCCCAAACTCTGGGTGCTGTCTGGGAGCTGGCTAATCAAGCCGTCCATCTTCAGATCTCACTGTGACAGCTGGCTCAACGCCATCCACATTTTGTCACCTCCTCCTTGGATTGGAGCTCAGAGCTTGACCCTTTGAATCAAGAAGACACAGTCCGTGACTTCCAGAGCCTTTCAAGTCCGCAGTGCAGTGGTTTCCAGCCTTGCTGCTAACACACTCTGGTGGATCCAATTAATTGTGAAATGTGTCATCAGCAATTTGCCACTCATAATAAAGTACCAAATGGGGATGACTTATTTTTTAAAAATAAATTGGATTGGATTCAGTCATTTTCATAATAATCTCATTTTTTTTCTAGTGTTATATGTAGATGTGAAACTGTAATTTTCAACTTGTTTTTCCTCCTGATGTACATGCCTCACACCCCAACACGGAGTAGATATTTCTTTTCAGCTGGAACAGAAGATGGATAGTGGTGTGTGGTCAACTTGTTCATCAGTCCTGCCCCCACGTCTTCTCACCAATGCAGTGACGCAAGTCATTAAAAATGACATAATTACTGATACCCTCTGCATGGAAGAGGGGGATAAATTCTTATGAGGAAGAAAATAGAATGAGTAAAGGTCTTGGACAGCACAGAGAAGGTTCTAGAATAAGTTGGGAGAAATCTTGAAAGGCTACACATGGAAAATGGAGATGGTTAGACTATTCTGTATATACTGAAGAGTCAGCAAGTTATTCACACATGAACTTGTATGTTTCTATGGATCAGGTACATGAAATGGTTCTTGAATATTTCCAAAGTGGATTTAGACACATCTGTCTACTTTTTAGGGTTTTAAAAACAGTATTTCTAAATAGAGCATGGTAGTTAAGAGTCTTGCCATAGAATCAGTTAGTTTGGGCTGAAAACCTGGCTCTAGCGCTGCTGAGCTATAGAACCAGCATCACTGTGCCTCAGTTTCCTCATCTGTACAATGAGATCACAAAAGTGCTGACTTCGTGGACTTGTTAGTAAGCATTAAATGGGTTAAACTATAAGCACTAAGTATGAATGGACTAAGACATAACAGCACAGAACCAGCTCTCGGTAACTGCCAGCTGCTCCTAGGATGACTGTGGTTGGTATTCCTACCTTTGCCAAGCAGAGGGTGGATGTTCTCTGGCTGCTTCCTGGTGATGTGTGGGTGGAATATGACACTTTTTAATGAATCAACTGACTTTCGTTGAGTGATCCTTTCATTCACCAGGCTGTGTTCTCTGAAGGGCACAGAGAAATAAGTCATGTAGAGCACCCTCAAATATGTTCAATCCAAAGAGAGAAACAAGACATTCCAGGCTAGAACAGCTAATCCACAGCAAGATAAAGCTGTGCCAGTTTACTAGATAGTGCAGGGCTGAATGGAGAGAGCATGCAATGCATTTCCCTGTGAGTTAGGTGAAGGAAGTGTTGGCATGTGGTTTGGAGTGCTTCGGGAAATCTTCCAGAATCGAGGAGGGATTTGATCTGAGGAGTTAATCTGGGGTAGGAATTAGATGCCTGCAGAAGAGGTTGAGACACTTTGGATAACTTTTTTTTTTTTTTAAAAAGATGTGTTTATTTATGCATACAAGAACTGGGATACAGGCCAGAGGTGTGGGGGGTGAGAGGATTCACCAAAAAACAGAGTGGGGAGCAGAACAGGCAGATCTACTGAAATACACTGCTGAGGGGAGCAGCGGACCAGGCAGGAGAGGTCTGCTGTGCCATGTGGGTATCTCCCTGGCCAGGGATCAAACTCGTGCTGCAGTGGCTGCGGACAGCATCATAGGTTGCATCTTAACCCCTTGCACCACCAGGGAGGCTCGCTTTGGATGACTCTTTCAGGGTGTCTTCCCAGTCTGGTTGTGCTGGACTCTCTGTACTAGTTCAAGTGGCCTTGCTTGCTAGTCTTAGGTGTTTTCTAAATTTCCCCCAGCTTCAACATGGGTCTGTGCATCTTATAATTTCTTTATCCTTAAGTGCCCTCCCGGCCACCAGAGTGGGTCCCTGTATAATTGTGTATTCAAGAAATGATCCTCCTCCAATTCCATAATTATAAACATGGCCATCACAGCATCTCTTAGAGACAGATTAATCTGCACACAAAAATCTTCGCACGTTTTGAGAATTTTTTTTCCCCTCAAATCCCTTTTTTTTTTCTGATCATTGGTCAGAGGGCCACTGATGGCGTAGAACAAATTTCCATTCACTCCACATCTGTTAAAGAAAAACATACGCCTGAAAAGCTTTGCAAAATAAGTTCCACTGACTTGGCCAAAGGCAGCTGGTGGTGGAGGTGGGGGTTGGTGAGCAGGGGAGAGGAGCCAGGAGAGGATGCCATTTGTTCTGTTTTCTCAATAACAAACACCAGGAAGCCACATAGAAGAGAATGGAACTGAGGAATGAGTGATTATCAAAACATTAACTTAAAAAAAAGGGAAGACATTAAAATCAATCTTGGCTATTTGCTGTCCATGATTACTGCTATTTGTATGCATACTAATTTCATCAGAGTGGGATAAGTGACATGGAGGGAAGAGCACTGCTCTTACATGAAAAAGGCCTCCGGTGTGAACAAATGCTGACTGCCTAGGCCAGCAGAACCAGGAGGAGGAGGTAGCCATGTAGGACAAGGACTGTCGAGAGCAGCAGACAGCGATTGGAAACACATGTAGAAGATTCCTTGAGCAAGACTCTGGGAGATGGTCCTCTTTCAGCAGTACCACAGTCTATTAATAACCAAAGGGCCCAGGACAGAGGAAAAGGATAAGAATGATGGGAGAAATAGGAATTAGTGGTTCAAGTACCAGGGAATTGAGGGGGAGGGGCTTGTGTTTACTGATTCTCTAATGTGCGTTGGTGGTTGTCATGGTGACTTTTCTGTATGAACTTGGCTGGGCGATGCTGCCAAGATTGGGTCAAACATTATTGTGGATGTTTCTGTGAGGTTGTTTTGGGGTGGGATTTACATTTTCATGGATGACTTTGAATAAAGCAGATTGCCCTCCATCATGTGGGTGGGCCTCGTCTGATCAGTTGATGGTCTGAGTAGAACAAAAGGCTGTGCAACCTGGAGCAAGATGAAATTCTGCCACCGTGACTCTTCCATTCACTAGAACTTGGGCTTGAACTTCCAATTTTTCTTGAATCTGATCTGCCTTCCTTCCCCAACAGCTTTTGGACTTGCCAAGACTTCATAAGAGCATGAGCCAAATTGTTAAAATAAATCCATCAATTTCTTTCTTATATAGCTATGTGTGTGTGTGTATATATATATATGTCTGTCACTATATATAAAATTATAACTATGTATGACTGCAACTATGTCTATAGCTATATAGATGCACATATCCTATTGGCTTTATTTCTCTCGAGACCCCTAATACAGTGATACTCTCTGCATATCTCATTTTCTTCTTACGAGCATATTCAAGATCATCTCGGGTCTCCCCCATGGCAGAGCTAATACTCAAATCCAAGTCTGTCTTCAATACATTTCTGCTCATCAAAATGCACTTCTTAGAGCCTCAGCAAGGGCTTTTGAGCAACTGAAACTGAAATCACTGGCTTCTCAGTGTGAAAATTCTAATGGAAACTAACAGGGCACCTGGTGGAGAATCAAGTGTCTGGGCTGACTGCCTCGCTGGTCTGTGCTCTACAAAACCCAGCTGGCCTTCAGGGCTGAGGAAGCACTGTCTAGGATCCTCGCCAGCTCAGGTTGGCTGGAATCAGGGTGACCTGATCCCTCTGAATCCTCAGTTATGCTGGAAGAGGGGTGATGTTTCTTTCCATCCCAGGTGCCTGCAAGTTCAGCTGGGGAGTCCATTATCCCAGCAACAGCCTGCCAAAGAGATGCTCTGCTTTTTCTGTGCCTTCTATCACTTCCTGGCATCACCCCCCACCTATTCCTGCCCGTCTTGATCTAAATGTGGGGCTTGGAAAGCACAGGGAGGAAGGAAGTGGATTCAGTGCACTTGAAACAGGAGAGGGGCCGCAGTGCTGAGGGAGGACAGAGCTCTTCCTTCCTAATCTTCCCTGCTTTGGCCCAAGCAGCAGAAGCCTGTGATAGGACTTCTTAGGATTCCTTCTGCCTTTTGGCAGTGTGAGTTGCAGGATGGCAAAGTTAGAGTGGAGTTTTCCAGTTGCCTCGGGCAGCAACGTCTTACATGCCTGAGCTCTCCACTTCTTGAAGTTGGGCCAACTGCTTGGCAGCCAGTGGCTGAGCAATGTGGTGGTGCCAGTGGGTGTATGGGAAGCATGAACCCACCACCCCAGCTGGCTTTCTGCTCACTTGGGCCCTGAAAGAAAGAAGGGGGAAGGCACGGACCATGGGGTTCTTCTCCAATGTCTCCTTTTAAGGGAGCCTAGGATGTACCTGTTCATAAATGAAATTGATCTTTGAAATATTCAGTGTACTGAAAGTTGTATACCCCAGGGAGTATTAAACATGTCAAGGCCTGGGGACCTCCCTGGTGGTGCAGGGAGGGGTTCAAGTCTCAGGACTATGATGCTATCCACAGCCACTGCTGCATGAGTTCGATCCCCGGCCAGGCAGGTGACCCACATGGTGCAGCAGACCTCTCCTGTCTCCCTGCTGCTCCCCTCAGCAGTGTATTTCAGTAGATCTGCCTGTTCTGTTCCCCACTCCTTCTCTGGTGAATCCTCTCATCCCTTGCCCCACACCTCTGGCCTACACTGCAGTTCTTGTATGCATGAATAAATAAAATAAATCTTAAAAAAAAATTTACCAAGCCCCATCCACACAGTCACCTTGACTATATGAGCTTTCTGAATCTCTGCTGGAGGCACCTTTTCTCATTGCCTGTTGGCTCTCAGCAGCCAGAGTAAAAGCCCAGACATGGGTCACTGAGAGCAAATTAAGATGACCCCCTTCCAGCATGTCCGCAGCTGCCCCTGGGCAGATGTCATCACTTTTGAGATGGGACTGGATAACAAAGCAAAGCCTGACTCTAAGGTTTTGATGACTCTAAGGTGAGAAAAGAGATGTGATTAAAATGAAATGTTCAGAGAGTTTGAGCAAAAAGAATGGGAAATGTGCACTGGACAAAGGCGGACACTGGACAAATGCAAGTTGAGATACAAGCACGAATCCTCATCTCATGTCAAAAGAAAGCCCAGGCGAAGAGCACCAGGGGAAACAAAGACAGTTACTTGACAACTTTAAAGAAAATCCCACTGAGGATCTAGCAAATAAGTCCCAAGGTCATACACCCAGGGAGATGTGTTTTATTCTATTT